TGTGTATGTGTTTCTTCGTTGTTTCTTTGACCGTCTTCCTATTATTATCATCCCGATAATAAGGATAATTGTAATGATAATGCTGATAATAATAATATTGATAATGTTGATAATAATAATGATGATGATGGTGATAATCAAAATACCAATATATATGATAATGATAAAAGTAACAATAACAATAATAATAACAATAATGACAATATTACAATAACAATGATAATGATACAACTAACAATACTAATAAAAGCAATAACAATGATTATTTCAATGATGATAAGAAAAGTAATTAAATGATAATGAAAAGTACGAACAACAGTGATAAGAAAAGAAGTGAAATGATAATGAAAAGTAGTGAAATGATAATGAAAAGTACGAACAACAATGACAATAACAATAAGCGATAATGATAGAAAACAACAAAAATAAGAATTCCTTGCTTATAACAATAGCTCTAAACACCTCTATCCTTATTATGATGATCATGATAATCATAATCATTATTACAAAAATAATGATAATGAAAGTGACGACAATGGGTATCATTCGAATACTGATATGTCATTTTCTTTATCACTTCCATCATAAACAACAAAAGATATAACAATACTGATAATAATTGTGACAGTAATAATGATAAGGATAACATACTGACCGTGTTAACAAAAAGGTGTTTCCAATTCCGTTAGAATATCAAGATAATATCATGATAATGACATAGTATCAGCAACAGTAATAGTAATGAAATCAGTTGGAACTTCATTAATGACATCCCCTCAAACCCTATGCAAATCCTTATTACCAATCATCTACCAACGTTATTATCATCGTCATCACTCATCAAATAATCCCAACGTGATCATCACCTGTATACAACAGTAGAGTTTAGAATACCATGGATGTATAAAACCATGTAATTTCGTACAAGAAAAGCTTTGGATGACGTAATATTTGTTATCCTTACTGTTCCCTTGTATCAGCATGGTAATTGCCATTCCCTTCAGTCAAAGAAGCAAAACGAAATAGACACATCCACAGATGCATAATTGAAATAGGTTCTAAAGACATAAAACGAAAACGAGTAAATCCATACAGGGATAGATTATATAACCCAAACAGAAATCACAAAGAATTGTCATTGAGCATATTTTTCTCTACTTTCAAGTTATCGTTACCACTCATCAAATCATAAAGTTAGTGCGATCCTACAATTCTTAAAGGCAAAAAAAGAAAATGAATTTGAATCAAATGAAAGCACAAAAGAAGCATTACATGATATAATGAAACGATAATATATAATGAAAAAAAAGAGTATATAATCCCTTTTCTTTCCTGATACAGCATCGTCAACAAGTATCTAATCCTCTTTAATCTCCTCCTCGTTATAATTAAATCCCTCTACTGTTCCACTTACACAATTTTCATAAACAAAAAGGGCAAATATAGATAAAACAAATCTATAGAGGAAATAACCACATAACGCAGCAATAGGTAATGAAAAACACTGTCATCGAGCATCTAATCCTCTTCATTTCCCTCTTCCCTAAACATCGTTACCACTTACCACACCCTTTTACGGCTTCACAAGCACAATGCTCGTAGACAAAACAGGGCAAATTCAAAGAAGATAAACCCACAGACTTTTAAATACAGATAATGAAAAAAAACATAAACAAGCATCTGATTCTCTTTTATCTTCACTCTCCCTAAACAGTGGCATGTGCAACGGTGACGCCTTCCAAATGTAAACAGCTGTTACGGACGCTAAGCACGTTTGAGTACCTCTCTTCGTGCTCCTGCGCTGAACCCAACGTCGACTTCACCTGTTACACGTTCAGGGAGACGATCTTCAATCATCCGTGTCTAAGCGTGGATACTGACGGTAGGTGGAATTTTTTTTTTGCGTGTACTTTTTTCCCTTTTTATTTATTTTTTTTCGGGGGGAGGGGGGTTAAAGGGAAATAGTGGATGGAGAAGAGTGTGCAGGGGAGAGAGAGAGAGAGAAAGAGAGAGAGAGAGAGAGAGAGAGAGAAGAAGAAGAAGAAGAAGAAGAAGAAGAAGATGATGATGATGATGAGGAGGAGGAGGAGGAGGAGGAGGAGGAGGAAGAAAGTCAAGAAAATGCGAGAGGGAAAGATAAGAGTGCACCAAATTACACTACTACAGTACTACAAAAAAAAAGAAAGATGACAAGAATCCCCTGCCCTTGCAGCATCCTCACCCATCTTAAACGGGCTTCTCTATTTTGTTCTTCATCTCAGCATCACGGCCTTCTATCTAAATTTCGAAGCACGTTTTGCCCTGTTGATTCCGCCCACAGCCACAGAGGTTGAGCAAGGGAGAGACTATGTACACCTTGGAAATGTTGATATAGCTACGTGTTGGGGAGAGTGTGTGTGTTCATGTATGTAAGTTTGCACGTATATTTGTGTATATTGAAACGTTTATTACTCCTTTTTTATCATCATTCTTTTATACAACATACGTTTTATTCAAATAC